TAATGTGTCTATTGGATTATAGATAGGTTTTTCTGTGAATAGTTATGTCTCTTGGTAAAATAACATTCAAAAGTTATGAGATATATTGAAAAGACACCATAACTCAAAAGTTTAAATATAAAAGGTTATTATTTCAAATTTTAACTCAAAGATTATGTTTTATTGAATGATTAATTGTCATTTCATAAGATAATTATTGAAACAACACTTTTATTCAAAAGTTGTGGTTGGTAAAATAAAAAGATGCCTTTCAAACAAAATAGTGTCTTAATGAAAGGGTTGTGTCCTTGAAGAAGAAACACTTACAAGTCTATATAAAAGGCTTATTGCCAACCATTTTGACACATAAAATAAAATACAAAACAAGAACAGAAATATTAAGAGCAAGAAAAGTATTGTACTCTATTAATATAAACACTTAAGTTCCCATCAACTACAAAAGCTTTCAAATTCCTTATAATCTACTTGATGTAGAAAGTAAGCTTTAAGACCAAACAACTTTGTAAATCCTAAGGTGTAGCTAGCGGGCTACTCTCATAAAGTGCAATACAAAGTTAGATATTGGCTTCATTGTATCCCTAAGACTATTCACATTATTCCCCTTTGCATATCGAGTGGTGAGGGTAAAATAAATCTTAAAGATAGCATCTATTTAAAGGCTCACCTTGAAGTCAATTTTACCAATTCCTTGAATTCTATCTAAATCCCATTTGCACCAACAATTTTAAGACTTATTTTTTATGGTGTTGGAATTCAATGGCTTTCTTAAAGATAATACACCAACATCGTCAAGCTAGACCGTTTTGAAGGAAGAAACTTTTTTCATTGGCAAAAGATGGATTAATTTGATGGTGATAAAGAATGTGACAAAATGGTTCTTTATCAGATTACAAGATAAGTTTTATTTCCTTACTTGATATGCATGATATTGTATTTGATATGCATGGAAAACGTATATTGGTTGGAAAGAAGGATTTTGTTATATTAGTATAGGATCTTAATATGAATAAGGTTATTGTTGT